AGTCTGTGTCCGGCTCCTCCTCCTCAGAGCGAGTTCCCAGCACGGCGTTGCTTGGCGAGTCGTCGGGACCCGTTAACTTCGAGGCGTTCAGGAACAGCTCGGCTCCAAACCTGAGAGCCATGCTGACCAATGACAGCCCCCGCCCCGTCCTGAAGCCCATCCCCAAACCCAGAACTGTTTTTAACCGCCGCCGCACCACACCTGTCCACTTCTGTCCAACCCCAGACCCCGCCCCGCCCCCACCGAGGAGGCTATCCCAGGACTCCATCTGTTTCACCGTATTAGAGGGTCTGACCTCAGGAGACACAGCTGCACCTGAACACCTGAAGTCCACATCTGACCGCGACATCGAGTCCAGTTTATCTGGCAGAATGCCGAGTCAGGCTGAGAGGAGGAAACCGAGTCGGAGCTTCTCTCTGTCAGACACTGGAAGACTGTTACCGCCTGTTCCCCCGAGGCTTAACCGCGGGGCCCTCCCTGCCACATCCCAGGGGTCCCCACCCTCTTCGTCTTCTTCCTCACCTATACGGACAGAGCAGGTGAACCATATTTCACCCATGACTTCCTGTCCTGGTAGTGCGGACAGCAGCAGACTCTCTGGATCCTCGGGGGGGTCACCCAGAGGGGGAGGGCTGGAGATGGTCTCTAATGAGATCTACTGGGGCACCTTACCTGGTTCTACTGCCCCTGCTGGAGTGAGGAGGTACTGCAGCCAGCAATCAGCTCCACCGACTCCACCCAGACAAACAACTGACAGGAAAACACCTGACAGGAACCCCGAGAGGAACAGGTAGGTCCCTGTGAGGGTCTGTATCCAGATGGGGTGCACAAGTGGAGTTTTTATTTTTATAAACGCTAAACTTTATGTCAACAAACATTCAATTTTAACACAAAAAGAACAAGCTGCCTGTGTTCAACAAACCAACTAAAAACCTCCATGTGTCAACTCCTCACACTGGCTTAATGCATCTGTCCTTCCATAAACTTGAAAGATTTCTCAGGAATTTAGATTTACTCTGATTCCAATTCAGATCCTATCCAAGTCACAGGTAAATATTCACAGGGGGGCGGAATACAATATGTTATTTTAATATATCTTCCATCAAAATACCTTCCAAAATTGTGTTGACATCAGTGAATTGTAATCCATCAAACAACAAATGTTTGCAATATTGTGAAATATACATTACAGAAGCAGTCGCTGCAGTGACTCATTAAATTACTGCAGTTTGTCAGTAAAGCATTTATTGATTTCTTATTTGCTGTTTATCTCTCTTTCATGTGTTTTCAGTGGCAGCACTTTAAGTAACAACTCTTCAGGATCAGCCCGAGGTGAGAATAGATGTAAATACTTACCACCCATATCAAATCACGAGTCTATTTTAAAGTTGATTTTAATGTTCTCGAATTGCCATGATGTGATATTTTTTTATCTTTCAAACGAGACTCTCTCGTCTGCACATGGAATTGACTTTTTTGGGTTCTAATAAAGATACCTTGAACCTTGAACTTGATGTATCTGGACAAAAGTCTGCATATAAAAACTGCTCATGTCGATATTAGTCCAATTTCTTGGTTTGTTAGTTTTACCCCTTAAGATTTATTGGTTTGGGCACCAAAGCCATAACTGGAGAATAAAGAGGACATCATCTTTAAATACCAAAAATTAAATTAGCCTTATATGGTTTAATGACCATAAGTGTCCATGAATCGTGCTGAAAATGTGAATAAAACATGTTGCCTTTCCATTGCTGTTATGTGCTAAGGATTGAGTTTGACAGGATAAATTGCTTATTCTCATGTCAGCTACAGTCAGGATTTATTTTGAGTCTTCTGAAATTTCACTTCAACAAAATAACGGTGGCTGAAAACCCATCTGCTTGTTGAGTTTGGAGTTGTAGCACCCTCCACGCTCCGGCACTTTATTTACTCCGATCGTTTGTTCAACAGCTTCAACAGACGACCCTGAGGAGGAGATCAGTCCGTACTGTGAAACTGTTTTCCAAACCAGAAGAAATCCACTCATCTTGGAGGTGAGCCATAAATGCAGATAGATATATTACTTTATTAATCAAAAAGGGAAAATTTGATTGTCAGCAGCATAGAGGGCAAACTCCTGTTCTTTGTAAAGATTCTTTTTTTTTGGGCCTTTTAATATTACCTGTTCAATGTGTGATACTTACACCCCTGTGAAGTCTACCTTTCCATGTTAGAGGGGGATCATTTGGGAACCAAGTTTTCCCACATCTGCACTGCAATTGGAGAGGTAGTAACAGAGGCATTACAGGGGGGAGACAAGGTGTTGACAGGAAGGCTGCAAGAAGGAACTAAAGCTTAGTCAGTGAGAGAGAACAGCGCTGTGTTTATGCGCAAGTCCGAGTGAGGGTCGTTTGTTTACATGTCGTGCTCCGGCAGTGCAGTAAAGCAATGTGAATTCACAGAATCAGACACCAACAAACGCTTTTAATGTACAAAGACGGAATAACAGTGGAGCTTCTTAGAGCCCTCTCACTTGTCTTCGGTCCTGCATTAAAAAAATATTATTCAAAACAATGATATAGAAGAAATGTTTAAAAAAAATGGCTGGAGAGAAATCAGCTTTCAAACAGTCTAAACAATCTTTAATTCAGCTGTGTGAAATGTACTAATTTAGTGTGCTATTCAGCAGAGTGACAGAGACACCAGGAAGGGGGAACATGCAGAGGATCATGGGTAAGTTCAAGTTTAAGTTAATTAAACTCTCATCCCATCCACATCTATGTAATACACTAACAGTGCAATGGAATTGTGCCTGAGTAACACAAAAACAAAAACCAGCAAGTCAATTAGGGGGTTTTTTTTTTCTGTGTCAATGAATATTGAATACTTTTATATGGTGACATACTGTAACACAAAATCAATCAGAAAGTACAAACAGAATACACTGAAAGCATCAACGTAAAGTTAACAATAAGCAGCATTTACCTGCAAGTATTTACAAATATAATTTATCATATTGAGACAGCCAATTACGAACTGTTAAGCCAATCACAATTCAAATAGGAGGATATAATCAGAGTAAGTATAATGTTTGGGGAAAAACAGTATCTACTGATATTGTAGACAGTCAGGGGTGCCCCAAGGTTCCATACTGGGCCCAATTAAATTTTCCACATTTTGTAATAAGATTAACTATGTGAACTTAATTCTCTTTTGATTATTTTATGTGTTTAAACTTTATAAACTTTATCTTACATTCTACATTCTTCTTGTGGTGTAACTGTCATCTCAACTGCTGTTATTAAAAGAACAAAACCACAAGTCATAATAAACCATTGTTGACTCACAGTGTCAGATTTCTCAATAATAGTACACAGGCTGAGTGTTTGCAGCAGATCAGTGTCCTCTAAAATCTTTAAATAAAGTTTAATTTGAACCGGCAGGAATCTGAAGTTCTCGTGGACGAAGCGTTTGTCTCAGGCTCTTCACCCCGGAGACTCTCAGGGTTACAGCACAGTTGGAGAACCTCCGCTACCACCCCTCCACTCCCTCTCCCTGCCAGCCCACACCTTCCTATCTGAGGGGGATGAGGACCTGACAATCTCCCCCTACGCCAGCTACACCTCCCTGACCGAGAGAGCCCCGCCCATCATCAGTGGCTGGCTGGACAAGCTGTCTCCACAGGGGTGCGTTTTAATCCAGCACGGTAGACCACTGCTGTGTTTGATTTAACTACCTGTGTGTGGGTCTGTGTCTGTGTAGGATCATGTGTTTGTGTGTGCTGTATTTGTCAGGAGTCAGAGATCAGCACCGGCTCTTCTGCTGCGTCTTCTCCTCTCTTCTCCTCCCTGTGTCTCCTCTCTCCTGAGGAGCTGCCTCTGCCTCGTCACCTTACTCTCCTCCTCCTCCTCTTCGTCTTCTTCTTCATCTTCTGCTCGGTGTGTTTGTCTTTTCTCCTGTCCTTCTTTTCCTCCTTTTTGTGTCTACTCTTTCAAAAACAAAGATCTTCTATGGATATTTTGTTTCACCATTGTTGAACACTCTTATTACTACACATAACATTCATACTGCACAATAACCAGCCATTGATTTTATTTTATTTATCTTTATTCTTTTCAATATATCTGTCTTCCAACATTTTAAAGATTTGGTTATTTTGTGTTTGGAGTAGAAACTAAAATGATAAAATAAAGATGACCTTTCACATGCTGCAAAAACTCAAATTTTACCAAATGTATTTGTTTAATTTCTCGTCAAACTATCTGATTATGTAGAAACATAAGCCACATTCACATGACCAGTCCAGATAAACATCTTATTTGAAGATATTACAAAAACAATATTGAAATATCGGGCCTTATCTGTATGTAGTTTCTTGAAAAGCAAGACATTTCATCTTATTTCACATTTGGTTTGTAGTCTTTGAGTTTTTACAGTGTAAGACAGATTGATTGTGTTTATCTTTGTGTCGTTGTCTTAAAAGTGTTCCTGTCTCCAGATCTTATGAGCGTTTTGTGTTTTCAGAAACTACGTTTTCCAGAAGCGCTACGTGAAGTTTGACGGCAAAAACCTGATGTACTTTGGCAGTGAGAAGGTAAAAATAAAAAAAACACTGATGGTTTATTTTATGATTGGTTTTAATCAATTGTTTTGTTTGGATTGTATCAATACTTCTACACTCGCTGAGTAGAAATATTGGCACAATCCAAACTCTTACTCTAAGTGGATATGAAAATAATATACTAAAAGAATAATTTAAAAACAGAACTACAATTTCTTAACAACCTAATATGAGGGATTACAACAACAGAGAACCAATATTTATTCAATAATATCCCACTTGAAACAAATGATGATAATGATATGAAAATATTACTTAAAAATATCAAACAGCTCGCACATCCGAAATGTTGAGTACTGGGTGCTGGACAAAAAAACATCCAAAGACAGAGAAAGACTAATTCTGCAGGAGCTGCTGCAATTCAATTTTAATGGGAATTATTACCACTTGTAACGTCTCGGGCCTCTCTGTTGAAGGACGAGGGCCTGAAACGTTACATGTGGTCATAATTCCCATGAAAATATTACTGAACATTGAAAGATCGGCTCTTTATAATCCATCCTCTAAAGACCTGTTTAATACCTGATCAGCACCAGTCTGTAGAACTCTCTGTGAAGTCAAATTCAAGGGCAAGGGTTATTTTACTTTTGTTTCTTTAGACAATAAATCTGCTAGTTAAAGAAACTGAGAGGTAGAAAATGCATTCTGAAAATCTTGTTCAATCTCTGCCCACATTTTCTGATTAAGTCAAACAAACATCATATTACAGCAGATTAAAACGATATCAGCGATTTTCAAAGAAAGCTTACCTCCTGGAGAAGACACCTGCCACCCACCTGCTGTTGTATTGCTCTCGGTTCTTTGTCTTTGATCATTAACAGACAGTAACAAACAGTAATATTCAAAACTTAAACCAGCAGCAGGAGCCTGATTCAGAAGAGAACTGTTCAATTTCATGTGAGACAGTCAGGTAGCCTATGTAACAGATTGTTCAGGTGTCCTGGAAAGAACAGAAATGTTTCCCCTACAGTCTGTTCATGGTGATGATCACGATACCAGAATTGTAATCTGAGACACTAAAAGCGATATCGATAAGAAGCACAACATAATAAAAAGTCATAGAGACCCAATATTGGGTGATTTCTTGTTTTTAGATATGAAGTAACCTCCGATGAATGTGACATATACAGATCAATAAAGAGGTTTCTGTCTGTATTCTGTGTTCCTGGTTTATTTATGTGGCATCAGATCTTTTAAAGCACCTGTTGTGTTTCAGGACGTTTACCCCAAAGGAGTGATCCCATTGGCTGCCATCCAGATGGCCCGCCCCGCCAAAGACAACAAGTTTGAGATTGTGACGAGTCACAGGATCTTTGTTTTCAAGGCCGATAATGAGGGTAAACACATACACCTACATTAAACCCTACATAAGAAGATGCACAGTAATTTATAATAATAGGCTAAATGTAATTTATAAAGTGATTTTCAGAATACTCAATAACACTTTATAAAATCACATTACAGTTTTAAATATAATGAATGAAACAACACATTAAAACAAACTTTGAAAAGTTGGGTTTTGAGCAGTGACTTGAATCTTGGCCGGTTGGTAAAGTCTCAGATGTGTTTGGGGAGAATCTGTATGAGTATATCTGTTTTGATGTCCAGATCTGGTTAAGTTTCCGTAAAAATTAAACTTTCTCACACACAGGTGTTGTGTTTTAGGCCTGCAGTCATAAAATCAACCTTGTGATCACTTTTCACAGGAGAAAAACATTTACACGTCTACATTGCACACACATACAGTATAAAGTAACACACAGCAGTCTATAAAGCTTTATAGACTCGTCTCCAGCTGGGACAGACAAAGACCGACCCAGTGACCGACTGCACTCAGACAGACCTGAACCAGGTCTTTATCAGTTTCTATTAACAGAGTCTGGTGTCAGATATCGTTGAACAAACACACAGCAGTTCAAGTCTGACCTGTAGCTCATTTCCTTCATGTCATTCCTCACTCTCTCTCTTTCCCAGACACAGGTTAAAAAACAGAAACATTTCTGAAGTTGACGTTGTAATCCATCCTGTGTTAGCTGTTGGAAAAATGGTTTAAAGAGGTCTTAAAAGGAACGACCGGATTTCACCCCGTTTCCAACCAAATATCCGAGTGCTCACTGGGATGTCGGCTTTAAAGGGAGAAATGTTATCATGTTGCAGAGCATGAAAAATAAGGAGGGTGATAATGATGATCTGTTTGCTGTGGGTCAGTGCTGAAGCGGCGGTGGGTGGGCACGCTGCAGGAGCACGTCAGGGATCAGCTGGTGTTTGGTCGGAGGCGGTTCGGTCCAGGTTCTCACTGTCAGAAACACGGCGTGCTCGAGCTGAAAGGAACCAAGTCCAAAGTTTACGCCGCCATCATGACCGACCAGATCTGGCTCTACAAGAGTGAACAGGTGACAACTTGTACACACTTTTACACCGTCATATGTAAACATACTCAGCTTTAAAGTCAGTAAATGTCAAAACTCCAACTTCAAACTGCTTCTGTGATAATTAATCTTTATAAGCTTGGTGTAAAATAATTATTTAATACTTGTATTTTTAAATAGAAAACTGAATTTTACACCCTTAATAAAAAATGGATTATATGACGTGTTTCTGTAGTGTAGTATTTTTTATACGGCTGCTGGGTTTGAATCCTCACCACTGTTTGGATCAGATTTGTATTGATCTGTTTGAGCTCTCATCATGTGATGATTATTGTTAATTTTAAATTACAACTGGTTGATTTTATATTCTGTTAGCGGTAACTTTTCATCCCAGAAAGAGCAGAAGTCAAATACAACTGCAGACGAGTTTCGTTCAAACACACACCTCTGTCCTCTGAAATGTTTCATCAGCTTCATGTGTGTTTCTAAAATGTCTCCCTGCAGTGTTTCCGTAACGGGATCGGCATCACAGTGATCGAAGCTCGAGGATCGACCATCAGAGACGGAAAACACAAGAGCTTCGAGCTCATCACGCCGTACAAGAACTTCAGGTATCACTGATTCTGCAACAGAATGGAGAATAAACATCACAGGGTTCACTTAGATCATCTTTCTGTTATTATTAATATTATTATTATTTGTATTCTGTTTGTTTGTTGATCTGAAAGCTATGAACTAGAGATGTTCCTCCTGAAACAGACGCTGCTGTAATCTGAGTGTTAGAATCTGTAGCTTCAGCTCTGTGGACGAAACCTAAACCAGACAATCTGCTCTGACAGACTGAGCTGTGTGGTCTGAAAATCAGGTCACTAAATCAGAAAAAAAGCTCCTTATAGCAGCTGGCTCCCTGCAGCTCTGCAGCGTGTCCACTCACAGCTCAGTGCAATCTGATGAGTTTAACAGAAACAGGAAGTGATGTCACTTCAGTCTCTGGTTCCCAGGAAGTCTGTTTCTATTGATGTTGTAACTAAATAAACCCCGAAAATGATCAGACTTACAAAAGGGAAAAGGGGTTCATGTCTTAAAAATGAAGTCACCATGGCGACTTGTCACAAAACCTGACTGTAGACCTTTGCCCCCCCCCCTCTCAGCTTTACATCAGAGTCGGAGCGGGAGAAGCGGTATTGGATGGAGGCTCTGCAGGAGTCCATCGCTGAGACTCTGTCGGACTATGAGGTGGCCGAGAAGATCTGGTCCAACCGCTCCAACAGGATGTGTGCCGACTGCAAGGCCCTGAACCCCGACTGGGCCTCCATCAACCTGTGTGTGGTCATCTGCAAGAACTGTGCAGGTACCGAGTGGCTCACTAATAAACTGATAGCAACAACATAGCAACTACAGCAACGAACAAACAAAACTTTACCTACCATTTCCTGAATTCTCTTCTCTTGTAAGCTCACATACATTTTGAACATGGGGTTTAAAGTTTACTTTCTTTGAATACAATCTATATCTAAAAACAATGCGGATACTTGCTCATGCATGAACTAAAGCATTCTAAATTCTGCAAGAAATCATCCATTAAACTAGAATGTAGAGCAATCAGCACCTGTTCTTACTTTTTCTTTGCATGCATGGAGTCAGTGTCTTCAAACAGATAACAAACTTAATATTATTATCTGATTATAAAAATTATAAGCTTAAATGTCACCTGTTGGCAGTATGTTAACACACCTGCTCAGGTAAACTCAGTGTGTTTATGCTGTGTGTTGATTTTACTGCGAATACCTGCAGGGACACGAATCACTGCATGACAAATTCTCACTGTGCAGGTTCAACCGCATTTTGTGTGTGTGTGTGTGTGTGTGTGTGTGTGTGTGTGTGTGAGTGATGTCATCCTCCAGGTGTTTTGTCTCTTGTGTCACCTGAATCCTGTCATCACTTTGAATGTTTTGTGTCTCATGTGAAACTGATCTCTTTATGTTCAGGGTCACAGAGTCTGAAGGGGAGTTAGGTGTCCCTGTCACGTTGCTTGTACTGACTTGTAGCTCGTTGACTGGACGCTTCACTGTGATGTCATTTCTTTCTCATCAGAGTTTTTATTGACGGCCCTAAATAGGGTTGTGACGTTAACCAAGTTTTTACATTTCAAATCGATTCTGTGAAAATCAAACAATATCGATAATCTGTTTTCATGCCACAGTAACAAAAAACTCTTTGGGTGCTTGTGTGTTTTTATGTGTGTGTGTGTGTGTGTGTTTTTTTATGTGTGTGTGTGTGTGTGTGTTTTTGGTGTGTCTCCCTGCAGGGCAGCACAGAGGTCTCGGGACGATGGTCTCAAAAGTTCAGAGTCTGAAACTTGACACCAGCGTGTGGAGCAACGAGATCGTCCAGGTGAGACCAGAACCAATAATATTGAATCAAACAATATACAATACAACTTTTTTTGTGTACTTTTATATTTATATTTACGAGTTATCAAGTTAGTATTCCTACTGTTCTAAGCAAAGAGTTAATGTACTGGTTATAGAGTGTTGATATATCTTATCGATCTTATCTTAATCTATTAATAATAGAGTAAAATAAGGAGATACTCACTGAAGGTATCATACCAGACAGCAATCATTTTATAGATGACGAAAAAAAGAAATAATCAGCTGGTCCAGTCTATCACCTGGAACACATCACACTATCAGAGCTGAAGCTTTGTTCTGTCATCTGATAGATATGAAGGTCAAATATGGTGACCTCTCAGTCTCCTTCTGTGTTCTGCAGTTCTGGGTCCTGAAGCGATCATGTTTTTTTGTTTGTTTGTTTATATTAGCTGTTCATCATGCTGGGGAACGACCGGGCCAATGAGTTCTGGGGGGCGGGTCTATCTCCGTGGGAGGAGATGGACTGTGACGCGTCGCCCGAGCAGAGACGAGAGTTCATCACCCAAAAATACAAAGAGGGACGATTCAGACTGAAACACCCGACGATAAGCAGCCAGGATGAGCTGCTGAAGGTCAGAGTCACCATCGATAACTCACATCTGTGCATCACTGCTGATACAGTCTATATCAATGTGTGAGACAACAAGTGCTACATTACAAATAAATACTGTTAGAAGAATATGGTTTGTGAATTTAAAAAGTAGTATTATAAAATAAAAATGTTCCTTAAATACAATAAAAGAGAGAGAGGACGTTATTTTAATGCAACATAAACTATATCGATATTAACTATATTATCTTACTCTATATCTTGTTTGAAAATATATCGATATATCTTAAAAACTCGATATATTTCCCAGCCCTACACCGACCAGAGGTGAAGTTCAGTGACTGAATTAGCTGAGGTGACACCTAGCAGCTCCCACCTGTCACTCAAAGAGGCCACGCCCCTAATTTTACATCACCTGAAGCCTGAAAGTATATTTTAAACGGGTGTGTTGAATTTAAATTCAGCCAGTACAGTTGTAATGAATGAAGAAATGATCTGTAGATACCAAAACTGTTTTTTTTTTTACCAGGCTGGAAACATGTTTATTTCTGCTGTAAAGTTAGACATGAAAACATGCGGCTCTATGGGGATTGACTCACTGCAGGAGATTGCCTCTAGTGGATATTAGAGGAATTGCATTATTTGTCGGCGTTGGCTTCTTTCATAAGCTTGCTGCTTTTTTTTAAAAACCTGGACAAAGACATTTTTTCCCAGAGTGCACTGGGACATCAGAGAAATAAAGATAAAAGCTGCTGGAGGCTCAAAGAAAAAAGAACCACACAGGGAGTAAATCTCTCTCTCTCTCTCTCTCTCTCTCTCTCTCTCTCTCTCTCTCTCTCGCTCAGGTTTTGTGCTCGGCCGTCTCTGAACAGATTCTACTGAAAACCGTCACTCAGATCTTCTCGGAGGCAGAGTCAGCTCGGCTCGCCAACGACTCCAACGGCTGCCAACGACACCTGCAGCAGCTGAATCACTGCACGCCGTCAGGTATCTCTGCTCCTATCTACTGCAATCTACTGCAACCTCATTTAATTTACACTGTATCAGGTGGCACGAGGGCCGTGTTTATGCAAGACTCTATACACAACATGGTGTTTATTAGGAAAGCACTGGGCAGACATTCATCAGTACATTTTATTTAATAAACAGTACTTTTAGATCTCAAGATCTAGACTTATATATCTTGTTATCTCAGAATAACAACGCTTGTTTTCCTGTGATAAAAACTTGAGTTCAGCTGCGTTCTTGAGCTTTTCAGAATTGAACTTGTTATCACAGAAAAAAACAGTGTTGTTTTCTCGAGATAAATAAGTCAAGATCTCAAGAAAACAAGTGGAGTTTATCTTTATCATGAGAAAACTGAGTTTTATAAAATGTTTGGATGAATGTCTGCTTAGAGCTTCTGTATTTTAACAACACAGGGACATTTGTGGTATATTTGCAACATAGTCTATAGCAAACCATGTGTATCATGCATCAATCTGAGTTAAAACAGTCAAAACATGTTTTTAAAGTTTTCTTTTTCATGTCAAAGTTTGATATTCGGGTATTATGACAAGCCTAAAAACTCTGGGTGTGTTATTCACCTTTACTCTGCACTTTAGATGGAGCTCCAAACACCAAACACATACAGTAGATATGAAGCAGTCATTTTTTTTTATTCAAATAATTTACAAGAATCAGTCATTTTCTTATTGAAGAGACGACATTTATTCCTCCTGTGAAACTACAGAGACTGCAGTCTTGGTGCTGAAGGTCAGCCGTGTGTGTGTGTGTGTGTTGTGTGTGTGTGTGTGTGTGTGTGTGTGTGTGTGTGTGTGTGTGTGTGTGTGTGTGTTGTGTGTGTGTGTGTGTGTGTGTGGTGTGTGTGTGTGTGTGTGTGTGTGGTGTGTGTGTGTTGTTCCCGCAGGGGGCTTTCATTGTGTTTACATTTTGCTTCAGTTAGCAAGACACACTGATTCTATTCTACCGACTGACCCAGAGTCGACACAGTCTGAGGACCACACATCCGTTTACTTCTGTTTAATGTATGATCTTAATTCTCAGCATGTTGTCATGTTGACTGATATCACGTTTTTGTTTTGTCATCTGAATTCTTCCTGTCAGACCCCGATTGTACGATGAGATCATGCAGCCCGTCCTGCACTCCGGTTACCTCTACAAGTCCGGCTCGGCCCACAGAGAACACTGTCGAGGAAAACCAGAGAAGGTGGGAGAGGAGGATGAGCTTTGAGGAGGAATTGTCCTCTGAAATAATAAAAAAAAAGAAAAGGAAAACAAAGAGCTTTATTATAGAAAATGTTCCATAAGTGACTCCTTCAGATTTTAAAACCTACAGATGAATTTTCAGTTTTTTCTCTTGAAGCCTGTGAAATTAAATGTGCAGATTTTTTTTTGTCAGACTTCCAGAAGTTCTGGTGTTCAGTGGATCAGTCTCTGCTCCTGTACGAGTCGGATCGATCAGCTGATCCCTGCATGCAGATCAGCGTCAAAGACATTGTGTGTTTGGGTGTCAGTCGACCTGACTCCTCCCACAGCAGCAACGGCTTCATCGACAGGTATGCGCTCTCTCTCTTTATCTACAGGATAAATGAAGCTTTACATACATAGAGAAATAAATATTTGTGTGTTGGCAACATTTTCCATACTTTGATACATTTTTATACCACATGTTTTAAAACATAAAAACTGTTATTTTAAATGATCTCCAGTATCAAAAAGTCACATTCTGAACAGCGGTTGTTCTGTGTCTTAAATACACATTATTTGTCAAATAACGACATTCCTCAAGTCATTTTGTCATCTCATGAAATTGCAAAAAAAAGAGCAGAGGAGGAGCCACTGTCTAAATTGCACAAATACATCAGCGACAATTCAGTACCGAAACATTGCCAACATATTTGTGCATTTTAAACAGTGTGTGCGCACCCCATGTGCAGAGGCTGCAATCCTCCGGACGGACAGTCTGGGATCGAACCCGGCCTGTGGCTCCTTTCCAGCTCTCTCTTTCACTGATTTCTGTCCTATCTATAAATAGAGGCATTAAAAGCCTGAAATTACCATTAAGAAAAAGATACTGTATATATATATATATATATATATATACACACACACACACAGGCCTCTAATTTTTGTTGCCTTGGTATTGAGGTGTAGAACTCTTATGTGTGTGATTGTGTATTTATTTCAGGTTTCGTTACACCTTCGAGCTCTATCTGACGTCAGACAAACTCCATCAGTTTGGTTTGGAGACGGCTGACACTCTGCACAGCTGGACCAGATCCATCGGAAAGGTCTGAATACACACACACTCATTACCAACACACACGCCATACTGAGTCTTTAATCAGTCGTTTTATAATAAAGAATCTTTAGCTCATTTCAACCAAAACATGTTTCATAGTAAAGTTTAAAAGTTTTTGTGTTACGTTTAGATATTTTGAAGAGACGTACAGCTTATATCGTGGTAAAATATGCAGTGATAATGAAGGAATTCTAATGATTGGTAGAAAATTGGAAAAAAGTAAGATTTAATATTAGAGAAAACATTTAAATTCACACAATATTCTCAATCTTTGGATCTATGGATTCAAAGATAAGCTGACCTAAACTTCCTAATTGAGATTAGAATATGAAACACAAATACCACGAACCTTTTGTGTCTTCACAAACTGTCTGGTCGTCCTTGGTTAGGCAACGACCCCCCTCAGCTGTCACTGCCTCCTGACTCGGGAGTTTGAGCGCGTGGGGCTGCTGCGGTACAGAGCCATGTTGGACGCTCAACATTGGAAGGAGGCGTTCTTTGTCCTGCAGAAGTCCAACCTCTTCATCTGTCCCCGGAATGACGGAGCGGCCGAGGACATCATCAACCTGAACCGGCTGCAGGAGCTCAGTGAGTCCTGGTCTACGTAGACTCCAGTCTGTCTGATCCACGGGTTTATAAAACAATACATATTTCTAAATATATTCATTGAAACGCTGCGTCTGTGTTTCAGGTATCACCTCGGAGACGGAGAACCATGAGAAGAAGGACATCCTGGTTTTAGTGGAGAGGGGAAGGTGAGCAGAAAAGTTTCTCTGCTTTGGTTTTCTTTCTGTTCTTCCTCCACTTTGACCCCTCCCCCCCTCACTTTGGCCCCTCCCCCTCCTCAGGACGCTCCACCTGCAGGGTGTGGGCCGCACAGACTTCACTCTGTGGTACTCGGACATCCAACGAGCGGCGGGCGGGAAAGGAAACACTCTGAGAGAGCAGCAGCTGAGCAGGAACGACATCCCCATCATCGTGGACAGCTGCATCGCCTTCATCACGCAGTACGGTGAGGAGCCGCAATTCAATATTCACTTTTTTATCCAGACAGATTCAATGAGTAATGATTTTATATGAACAACAAATCAAATTGAATCATTGTCTCTGCAGCTCTTTTTAGTCTCTTTTTGCTCGTAAGCGTAGAACATTTGAAGTTTTACCACATGACACAAGACAGAAACACTGATATTGACTGATATGAAAGAAATGACCATGTTTATTGTGGAATAAGACGTCTGGCTGAGTCAGCAGGTAAGACTTTAACCCTCTGGAAACTTTCCATTTATTACATAAACCTGTTTAAATCTGAAACAGAAAATAAGTTCTCATGCCTCGTTTCTTTTTGCAAATGAAAGCTGTGCTGATTTGAGGTGAATGAATCATTTCAATCACCTGAGTGATGATCTGAGCATGCTCCGTAGGTCTGGGTCACGAGGGGATCTACAGGAAGAATGGAGCCAAGTCCCGGATCAAACTCCTGATGGAAGAGTTCCGGAAAGACGCTCGAAATGTCAAACTGCGGATCGGAGACCACTTCATTGAGGACGTGACGGACGTCCTCAAGAGGTTCTTCAGAGAGGTCGACGACCCCGTCTTCATGTGCGACTTGCACCCCCTGTGGCAGGAGGCCGCCAGTGAGTCCTCTTTACACCAGACCAAAGTCTTCTTGAACAAACAACAAGAGTCCTGGTCATCAGGTTCAGAATCCAGAGTCAAGACTCTCTGAGACACTTATTCATCTTCACTTTATCAGATTTTTCACAATTAATGTTGACCTCCAACAAGCCCAAATCCACACACAGTAAGTCATCAATAGATTAGAGTTCGTAACAGGCCATGATGACTTAGAAAACTCTAAATTACACACGTGGAAAAAAAAAAAGCGTGAAAAAAACGTGAAAAAGCGCAGACAAATAAAGAACAGATTAACAGATGTATGCCTAGCTCTGCTGATCGAAGAAACAGAATAGCACATGATACAAAAAAATCACAAGATCATACATGACTAATTTTTAAGAAACACATTTTTATTCTTCCAGTGGTCGATAAATCATTATTAACGCATCATTAGTTATTTAGACTGCTTTTTCAAGGCACAATATTTCCCTGTGACGTTTCACCTTCAATCTGAATGTCGCAGAGGCGTAATGGGGGGACGGTCTCTGTAGTAAGAGAGACCTGACAGATGTAAATCAGTATCAGCGTTACCAGCGGGGGTGTTTGTGTATGTCTGACCATGTGTATGTGGAGCTCCTGATGTGCCGTGCTTCCCCAACACCCCAATGCATAGACTGGGACGAGAATACTACGCTGTCGTTGAATCAATTTGAACGTACAAAGACGTAATGATGGGTGAGCTTATTGTGGCTCGTTTGAAGAAATGCAGTCTAAAATGGGCCTTTGTAAAAAAGCCTGTTGAGTCTCAGGTTAGGTTGAATCTCAGGTTAATTTAATCCCAGGTTGGGTTCAATCTCATGTTAGGTTTAGTCTCAGGTGTACCTAAAATGTCTCCGAGTTTAAAATCTGTCCTGTTTTTAGAAATCCCCCAGAGGAGTCTGAGGCTTGACCGCTACAAAGAGATCATCCGGACTCTCCCTCGAGTCAACAGGACCACCCTGGCTGCTCTCATCAGTCACCTGTACAGGTGAGCCCACAGCATCACACCTGATTCACCTGCAACATGATGTCACTTCCTGTCAGGTTATTCATCATTTATCAAATATTCCAAATTTGTTCTATTTGTAGAGAGGCATGTTTGGGGCTGCAGGACTCCCTTAAGTATCTGATGAGACGCTACATGAGTTGTGATTCTTTGCTTAAAATCAGGATTATTTTTATGTCATTGACCTGTTTTTTTTATGGGAAAACGAGAGACCACGCCCACATGCAGACATTTAACCGCTTCATGTACTTTGTGTAGCTTGGGAGTCATGGGGAACCTTTATTGACAGTCCATGTTGTTGATTTAGTCGTCGTTTCCTTTCTCTTGTCTCAGAGTCCAGAAGTGTGCTGATCTGAACCAGATGTGCACAAAGAACCTGTCGCTGCTGTTCGCTCCCAGTCTGTTTCAGACGGACGGGAAGGGAGAACACGAGGTGAAGATCGTAGAAGACCTGATAGACAACTACCTGTACGTCTTTGATGTGAGTATCACCTGAGGACAGGTTTACTCCAGTCTATTTGATATCATAAAACACCCCACACACTGTGAACGTCTGCTCTGTTTCAGATTGACGAGGAGCATCAGACTCAGATCGAGCTGGAGATCAGCCTCATCACCACCTGGAAGGACACGCAGGTACTGGTGCCACCTCACACCTGAGGTTTAGTCACACACAGAAACACAAAACACAAAACACAGATTTAGTTTCTGTCAAAGAATGACATTAAATGATTCATTTATATAGGTCAGAGTGTAATTGGAGTTATTAATGAACTGGTAATGAATAAATGAACTGTGTGTGTGTGTGTGTGTGTGTGTGTGTGTGTATGCAGCTGTCTCAGGCCGGTGACCTCATCATTGAAGTTTACCTGGAGATGAAGATACCAGACTGCTGCATCACTCTAAAAGTAAGTCTGATCATCGCTTATTAATTTAATACTTCTCTGTTTCACTTGAGTGAAGACTTAAGTTTCCGGTGTATTAAAGGGTTATTCTGGTATTTTTAAACATGGACACATATTTAGATATTTTTCAGTTTAGTTTAGACTTGCTGAAACAGGTAAAAAAAAAAACGTTTCTGTCTGTCTTTAAAAAAAGATGAAGATGATTTTTAACCACAAACAGTTGTTTCATCTCTCCAGACTACATAGAGAAAAACTGAGATTTTACCACCAGTGTTTCAATCTCTTTGTTTGTTTGCCTCACTGTGCAAACTAACAGGTTGATGCAGGGGTAGACAAACAACTCCTGTGTTCTGTGAGGTAAAATGACTGTTTCTGTCAATGTAGTCTGGTATGTTTGGAGATAGTGATGTAACCGATGTTTCTGAGCCTGTCAGTGACAAAAGAAGACCTTTCAGTGCCTGATATTGTGCCTTTTATTAGTTTAAGCATTACATGGCCTTGCACCAGACTACCTATCAGATATGATTTAAGTTTATGAACCAGTACGGCCCTTAGTTGTTCCACAGAGCAGGACAAAAACCTTTGGCGATGCTGCTTTCAGCTGTTACGCTCCGAGACTGTGGAACAACCTTCCTGAGGGTCTGAGAGGAGCCCAGAATATCGAGATTTTTAAACGCTGTCTTAAAACTAATTTATTCAGTCTGGATTTTATATAGTGTTTTATATCAATTCATATCTTAACATTTTTGTATTGTCTTTTTTATCCTACTACAATTTTAAATATTCTTCTCCTATGTATTAATTTTAATATCTTACTGCTTTTATGTGTCGTATTTTATTTTTTATTTTTGGTGTGCATTAGTCTCTCAATGATATTATCAATGATTTTATAAACTACTTTTTCGTCAATAACTTTTCTGCACTCTTGTAAAGCACTTTGAACTGCAATTTAATTTATCTGAAAGGTGCTAAATAAATAAAGTTTGTTTGATTGATAGTCATTGAGAACCAAAAATAGGTGTTGCAAAGTTTTAACATTATTAGAGAATTATCCTTCAACAAGGAGGCAGAATTGACTTCCCAGGTTTGTGTTACATATGACCTGCGCAGGTGTCTCCCACCATGTGTGCTGAGGAGCTGACCAATCAGGTTCTGTTCATGAGGAATGTCCCAGCCACAGACAGAGACGTGTGGATGACGTTTGAGGCCATCGAGGAGGGACAGCTTGGTGAGAAGGAGACACCAGCACCTGCACACCCGCCCCTCTCTCTCTCTATCTCTGTGACACACCTGGATTGATGAGTTCAGGGTGCCTGGGAGATTTCACTCTCTTGACTTGTCTGTTGTGTTGTCTCCGTCCATTCAGAGCGTCCCCTACACCCCAAAGAGAAGGTGCTGGAGCAGGCGCTGCAGTGGTGCAAGATGGCAGACCCGAGCTCTGCCTACCTGGTGGTGAAGAGAGTTCCTAAAGGAGAGGGCATCAACATCCTCACCTGTAGGTCACACACTGAACACACACTGCCTCATTAAAGAGCGTCAGGTGTAGCTCCTTGTCTTACAGCTGCAGCTTTGTAAATGTGTTCGAATTGTTTCTCTCCCAGTTATTAAACCTCTATAGTGATGTTACTATTAAACTTAATGTAATGAGAGTGTGGATGTGTTATCTTTCCATCAATCAGCCTATAAGAGTGAGATCATGAAGGTGGGTCTGCTGAAGTGTCGGGAGGAACCTCCGAAGCTGCTTCAGGGAAACAGGTTCCAGGAGAGGACGTTCCAGATCAAAGAGCACAAACTGCTGCTCAAAGACAAGAAGGTAACACATTCTCACAGAACACCAGTAAACACCAGTAAACACCAGTAAACACCAGTAAACACCAGTAAACACCAGTAAACACACTGACACTGGTCCCAGCCTCTAACTGGTCTCTGTTGTTGTCCAGAGCATCAAACCGGAGAAGGAGTGGGCTCTGAAGTCCATGAAGATCTACATCGGCATCCGCAGGAAGCTCAAAGCTCCAACCAGGTGACACACACACACACACACACACACACACACACACACACACACACACACACACACACACACACACACACACCTCCGCTTCTTACAGCTGTGACATCCTATCTTAAAAGTCTGTGTGTGTGTGTTTGTGTGTGTGTGTGTGTGTGTGTGTGTAAGTAACAAAGATGTAACAGTAAATGTGTGTGTTACCTGTCTCCTCCTGCAGGTGGGGCTTCACAGTCATGTCAGACAAACACCAGCTGTGAGTTTCCTTTTCTATCTCTTCTCTTCATTGTTTAGGAGTCAGGAGTGTTCAGAGTTTAATCATGGAGTTTATTTTGTTCATGAAAAGATGTTTATGTTGATCACAGCAAATACCAGCAAAATTTAAATCTTGAATCAGGTTGAAGCCTTTTCTTCTTCTTACCCTTTTTCCTTCATTCTCCTTCCTCCTCCTCCTCTTCCCCCTCCCCCTCTTCCTCCTCCTGTTCCTCCTCCTTCTTCCTCCTCCTCCTTCTCCTCCCCTCCTCCTCATTCCTCCTCTTCTTCCCCCTCCCCTCTTCCTCCTCCTGTTCCTCCTCCTTCCTCCTCCTCCTCCTCCTCTTCCCCCTCCCCCTCCTTCTCCTCCTCCTCCTCCTCCTCTCTTTCAGGTTTCTGTGCTGCACCAGTGAGGCTGACCTCTGGGACTGGATCACGAGCTTTCTCAAAGCTCAGGTGAGATCATGCGTCCTCCTTAAACGTGTCAATCAGCTGATTCAGGATCAGGTTCAGTTCAGCAGAGGACTGACAGCTGGAGCCTTAACGCAGCGTACTTCCCTCAGCTGTGGGCGTGACGTCTGTTGGAGTTCACTCCATGCCAGAGTGCGAGTGTGGAGGGATCAGTTTGAGAAAAGCCCCTTCTCTGTTAGAGGACGTACTGTCATATATAAGACAGTGTTTAAACTCCAGTTCCCAGAATCCTCTGGAGCTCTGAAGGCCATCTGCTCACCTTTCCTGCTCTCTCTTCTTCTTCTTCTGTGGTTGTTTTCAGAACGAGGACCCTGGTCCTCCGGTGCTGAGGCGTCACTCCTCCTCTGATATCTCCAAACAGAAGTTCGGCACAATGCCTCTCGTCCCCATTAGAGGAGACGAGAGCAACAGCAGCCTGCTGTCGGCCAATCAGACGCTGGTATGGTCACCTTTAACTTTGTACCGTTTTGATTTTTCAATCCATTTACCTGATGAAAAAGCTAAACTGATATATATGATGGATCACAGGTTTATTTTTTTAGGTATTTAAACGATTTTATACTCTAAAATGTTTCTTTTCTTCTCTGCAGAGAAAGTTACACGACAGAAGGACTCTCTCCATGTACTTTGTGAGTATTTATTTTTCAGGACTAAATACTTTTATTTTTACTTTGTGTTTTTTATTCTACTTTTTATTTCTATTAGTTTGTACTTTTTGGGTACTTAAAGGCTTAATATGTGATTTTTCACACTTAAATATAATATAAATCAAGTATATCCTCTGAAAATAACTCTGTGAGTCATGACTGTCTACAATGGGTGTAACACCCGAGTCCCACTGTCTGTGATGTTTTCAGAGTTTTCAGAGTCCTATCTTCAGTTTGTTTACATCGCCCAGATGGCCGGCTGACTCCTCCCCTCGTGTATAAAAGTTGTTTAATTGAGGGACTAGAGAAAAGAAGAATAACATACTGTACTCACTGCTTAACTGTGTTTCTAGATCACGCTCATTTCAGGTAAATTTACATGCAGTGTGAAGATACCAGCATAATAAAGATCGCTAGCATTAGCATGCTAACACAACAATGCAGCGCGAGTTGTTTTGGTGTCATGCTGGTGCTCAAGGGCGACATCTGCTGGATCAAAAAAATCACACATAAAGCCTTTAATGATTTTTTTTTTCTTTGTTGGCATTTTGAGATATTTTTTCAGTTTTACTTTGTTCTTTGTGATTATGTTTTACTTTAACTGCATCATGGTGAGTATTTCGGGGGACGGCTGTGGCTCATTTGGTAGTCGTCGTCTCTCTACCGGAAGGTCTAGGGTTCGATCCCCAGCTCCGACAGCAACATGTCTGATGTGTCCTTGGGCAAGACTCTTAACCCGGAATTGCTCTCGATGCTTTGTCGGCGGCAGCGTTAGAATGCGTATGCGTGGGATTAGTTACTTCTGATGGTCTCACTGCATAACAACCTGTACCATCAGGGTGTGAATGTGAAGGTGGGACATGCGGTGTAAAAACACTTTGAGTAGTCAGAAGACTAGAAAAGCGTTATGTAAGTCCATTTCCTGTGCACTTTGTGTGATTCAGTGGATAAATGATCGTCTCTGTCTGTTGATCGGCAGCCCATGAAGGTGCAACAGGACTCGTTGGAGGAGCGCCCTGAGTCTCCGGACCTCCCTGAGCCGCTCTACGAGGAGGTTGGGGACTTCGGCCTGCAGGTCCTGAAATCTCTGGAGACCAGCTTCCTGTCCAGCAGCACTTCAGAGACCCAGGAGGTCCTGGACCAGCCGCCGCTCAGACTGGTTCCGTTGGAAACGGGACACATAGACCACATCATTGTCCCCGAACCGGTCCTTACGGACGGGGGCTGTGTGGACTCTGAGGAGCAGAGAGGAGGAGGAGATGGAGGAGCAGACTGTCAGCAGCTCGCAATGAGGAGGAGGAGGAGGAGGAGTCAGCTGACGGGGGTCTGTACGCCGTCACAGGAGCTGCTGCTGCAGGAGCTGTCGTCTGCCTTTAACAGGAGGACCGAGGAGGGGGAGGGAGAGGAGGTGCAGGAGATACAGGAGGAGCGGAATCAAGACGATCAGGAGGAGAAGGAGGAGAAGCCGTATGATGTCTGAGAGGGAAGAAACTTTTATCACTACTCATTTAATTGATGAAAGTTTCCACAGAGTCTGCTTGAGTCAGGAGGAAATCTTTAACACCTGATACCTTTAGATTTCTTTTTATTTCTGTTTCTGCAGCCATAAAAACAACACACTGACTGTCTGTTTACAATCCTGCAGTATGTGACCGCCCACCTCAGTGATGGGCACGTTACTAAAAACTAGTAACTAGATAGTTACAGTTTCAAAAAGTAAGTGAGTAACTTCCTGAGTTACTCATTTCCTTCATTATAAGTAACTGTAGCGTTACTTGTTTTTGCTTCAATGCTCATATTCATTTTCACATTATTCAGTGTTGCTGTTTGAGAGAAAACAACTCTCACATTCCTATAACATTAAAGCCAATTTAAATATGGAGGTCTTTTCTCTGAAGGCCACAATGTCTCTGTCAATCAGTCCTGGCAAACAGATTGTGGAGCTGGAGCTACAAACAGACAGAAGCCTTGGTCTCCTCGGTCTGCCGAGCTAAAGTGAGCTTCAGCTGGGTCTCGGGTGTCTGCAGTGGCGGGTTCTCTGACAAGTAGTTTAGTAGAAGCGTGTTGTTTGGCTTGGTGAGTCATCCTCGAGAAAGGAAGAATAATGTCGGTATTTCCAAGACAGAAAGTTCACGTCTGAATGATGATCAGCCTGTGTGTGTTTACTGCGCAGTGATATTCTTTTCCCTATGGATGCTATTGTACTGACTTTAGCGTCACCTCGCCCCATTTTTACCTCGGATATATTCATCATAAAAATTCACAAAATCACATCAGTATTCAAAGACCTGTCAGATCGGATCAAGTTGTTAAATTTGATTGATCATCTGACATAACACTGAGGATACAGGATTGATCTCAGGGAGCTGGTTTCCTCCTGACTCTTCAGGAGAGTCGGAGTTCTGACATGTGGGGTGGGATTTGAACTCCCTACCTGCCACTGTTGGTACCTTGCTCTCCCTTCAGTTTAGCTCGGATCCGATTATTTTGTTTGTCTGTTCACATAACTTTTAAAATGTGGCCTGTATCAGACTCCTGTGGGACCTGGTCACGGTCCTGAACTGACCCGCATGCCCAAAAAAAAAAAAACACAAACACGTCGAATGCAGCACGGTGTGAAGAAAGATTATTTCATAACAGGCAGAACGATGATCTACAAGCTCCTGCAGAAGAACACATTTCTGTCCTTTTCAGTTATGGAGGTAACTTAAGGGTTCTGGCTTTTCAGTGGTTCCCTTGTAACCAGGGGAGATCACCGTGGTAACTGATGCTGAATATAAAACCAGCAGGATATGACACACTGAGCAGTCAGATCTCTTGATCACAGAGATCTGTGAGCTGATCAGGAGAGGGGAGGAGGGAGAGACACCGACAAACATTACCTGTTATTATTTTGAATATGAAATATATGATTGTGATATATATTATTAATGCTTCAGTTATCATCCCACAAGAGAGACTGAAGCACTGACGTTTTCTACTTTTTGTACGTATAAAATATCAAATTAGGTCTACTTCCTGCTTTCAGTTTCATGTTAAGAGTGCTATCCTGCTCCGTACAGCGCCACAGCTGAAACATAACATCTTAAACATTCAGACATGTCGCGTATGATACAATTAATAGTTTAAGGAAAGAGACAGGGGATATTATATTCAGATCTATTGTGCACTAAGAGATATTATAAGCCTTCATTTGCACATTCACTGTAAGATTTTTATTTTTTAGTTCTTTCTGCATTCGTCGCTACATCTGTGCTTTTATTTTGGATTATGTGTTCAACTCCATCATATTTCTCTAATATCAGAGTTTGCACAGTCTGCTCATAAGATAATTAACCATGAATATCTGACCTGTGTCATATTTGGATCCACATGTGAAGGTAGCTCAAAACTGATTTGAGAAGATGTGTTTTCATGTGACTTGTGCTGTTCACACTTTCATAGAAAAAATCAAAAGAATCAGATTCCGGCCATTTTTACCTGCAGTGTGAACGCAGCCAAAATCTCTCTCAGTTTGCGTCCCTTTCTGTTGTTGTGAAATATCAGCGTGTGTAGATTGACTGCATTTTGAATTTTAAAGGCTCAGCTGAAGTCGTTATAATACACAGCAGACCAGTCAATGTGAACCTGCAGAAAGTATCACACTCTGCTTTTAAAAAAGTTCTAATCTATGCAGACCCGCAGATATCCTAGGGCCTACATTACCCACAATGCACTCTTCCTCTTACAAGTGTGGTTACTAGGATGGTAAATGATAGCAGCAGCTACAGCACGCAGCAGAGCATGAGCGTGGAGCTTAAGACGTCTCTGACCTCTCTTCTGTCTCCCTCCACACTAACACTAACGTCCTCAAACATCTTCAGCACACACACTGACCAACATGACATCACTTGGGGACATTTCACAAACATAACGTGACTCTTTCTGGAGACGATAAAGGGCTTTGAGCTTTGCTTTAATAGAATATAAGGTTATATTTTCCAAACACATGAAGACACCTCATGCAGAATCACTAGAGGTCATCTTTAAAGCCGTTAAAGTCATGTACTTAAAATAAGTTAGATGTTATGGTGCAGCAGAACTGCTAAAGAACAAACTGGTTTTAATGGGGACTCCTTGTGATGGACTTATACACAGTACTGTTGTTGTTGTAAATATAAGAGGACTGCATTTCATTTAACCAAACTGTACATTTTTACTCATTCATCATGTAATTACTATATCTTTATATGTTAACTTATTTTATAAAACTACAAATGTCCATGCCCCCAAACCCCTGGACAGAATGTGATGCTCTGAGTGGACAGCAGGGGGCAGCACGTTCATGTTTTTAAATGCACAACTGTGTTAGAACTCGAGGTCTGGATGAGCTTTATATAAAGTAAAATTAATACACTGAAATACAACTTTATCCATTTAAGATTTATTGACATGAAACAAGAATAAAGTAGAAAATGTAAGTGTCCACTCGTTGTCCCAGGCCTCAGTGTAACTGGTCCCACTGTGTCTGTATCCGTGTTCATACTGTGTGTATATCTGTTCTACATTATTCCATGGAGCCGTTTCTCTCCTGGAAGGTTTCATATCATAAAGGATGATATTAAATATATTTCTGGTTTGTAATCAGATGTTCATGTGTCTCCTTGTGAGTGTATGTGAATGATGCAATTTCCTTTATTTAAATGATCAGTGATATATCGATTTTTTAAAGTACTGAGGCATTTAAAAAAAAAAAACGTAATTTCCTCATTCACTTTAAACCACAAAGCTGGCAGGAGAGAGAGAGAGAGAGAGCACAGTCTAAATTGCACAAATACATTAGCAATTAGCTTTTGCCAAGTTATACGTGCAATTTAGACAGAGTGCATGGATTTTCCTGCAATGTTGGTAAATAAAAGCAGGAAATTATCCAATATTTGGTGGTTATGACTTCTATGTTATTGTCACAATTATTATTAAAAAAAAATTATTGTTTAGGTGAATCCAGCTGCTGCTATCACAAGTTGACCTGATTGATTTTAGATTACCGGGCCCCAATATTCCATATTCCCACATTACCAACCACATGACCCCTCAGGGGCCACGATGGTAGGACTTCTTTCCCAGGAGGCTGGACAGTGTGATACCCTGATAATCAGAGCACACCCTCCAGTCCCCCTTTTAAAAAAAAAAAATGAGAACCTGCTCTCAGTCTGCCACTCTTTCAAGTATTTAACCAGACCTCTACTGAAGAGGTGTGTCAGCCAAGACAGCCCAACAATGTCCAGAACTTTCAGCATCTCAGGGGATTCTCTCACCTGATACACACCTCAACAACTCCTGTGAAGGATATAGGTGAGTCCTTCCCTGTTCTTCAAACTCCAGGGGAGAGAAAGAGATAGACAGACTGAAATCATTCTTATTGTAATTATGCCAATAATTTAAGTAGAAGCACCTTCTGCAGTCAACAGTCTGCACTAGTATGATTAAAACTGATGCTTGAGCATAATGTTAGAGCAGTGCACTTCATTCTGCAGTGATTTTATTAACTGTTTTCATTGTTGCCATAACGCCCATAGTTGTGACATCCAGCCACTCCCTGTCCTCAAGTTCAGTTTCACTCTGTGAGGTCTTCGTGTTGCAGCTTCTTCTTTCTATGTGAAGGTTTGTGAATTACACTGATCTGTTTGACTCTGTTTATGTTGTGTGGTTTAGTTCAGTAGAAGCCACAGTAGGAGTTCAAAGCTCTGCTATAGTCGTTTTTCCTTCAATGGATGTCAGATTCAGCAGCAGCTTTAACAACAGGAAGTCCTGAGAGTGAAAAAAAAACATTTACTGGATCAGTGAAAACGTCGCGTTCGGGCTGGCTGATGAGTCATTTCTAAAGAATACAGGTAAGATTCACTTTTTTTTTTTTACAATCAAGTAGAAGAGAGGATGATACCTATACCTGCATATCATAAACAGATCATGATTACAGTTGATACCAGATCCATTTAAAAAAAGATCATTTTATAAATGATCACTTATAGCCGATAACAGGTTTTTGTTTGTATTGTAGACATTAATGATTCTGGCATCAGTATCCTAAAAACTCTTAGCTATTAAAGCTATTAAAATTAGGATCATGTGACTTATGTTATGTCACATGACATGTTTGAACTGTAGATTCAGTCATAGTCATTGGCCATATGGCAATTCGAATAATATTTTAATAAAATGGGCAGCCCCTCAAAGAACACACCTTGTTCAAAACTAATCAAAAGAGCCTCTGTGTGAAATAAGTGGAGAGGTCACATTTACTGCTGCAGTGAACAATGATATAAAACACTCAGAGATGAAGCAGCTGAAGGTTTTGATTTCTGATAATGAGCAAGAGTAAGTGTCGATGAATGTTCTCAGTGTTTTCAGTGGTAATCCATGATTGGACTTAAAGCAACAATATTTTACTTTTTATCTTTAAATAGTAGTTTCAGAGGTTGATTTATTAGCACAATAACTTTCATCAGGCAGAATGCCCCCAGTGCACAGTGAGGTCTGATGGCCTCTTAACCGCAGTATGTAACTTTGTATTGAGTTTATAATGTCTGTATTTGTATAGCATCACTGTTTGTGTATTTATTTTAGTCTCATAATTCAGTTTTAATCCTAAAAGCTTAGCCAGGGACAGGGTTGCAAATTAGCCAATAGGCTAGAAACTTGTATGCTTGGCATCTGCATGTGTCCCTGTTAAATAAATAAATCAATTAAATAGCAGCTCATTAAATAACACCAAATGATTGATTTGGTGTCACTAGATGAGCTGACACTGCAAACTCTCACTGGATTTAATAAGAGTTAGATAAATAGAAAAAACACAGCTCATAAAAAGCTTTTTAAATTGCAATAGAAGTAAAGTCATTTCATCCATAAAGAAAGGCTTGTAAAAAGTATCAGGACGTGTTTCCCTCTAGTCTTCAAACAGTTTTGTGAATGTGGTTTTATAGATATAACACTGCAGATCAAAGTGCAACAACATCTCCACAGTCATGTGACTGTATTTAGGTGAGTGAGCTTTGAGTGTTTGTCATGTGGAATGATGAGATGATGCGTGACCCCTTCCTGCAGGTGTTTATTATAAGGTGTGGCTCTGATATGGATCAGTGTGAGGAGGGAGAGGAGAGAGAGGAGGGAGCCCCTCCCTTTAAAACAACTCTCTGTGAGGAACCTGAAGCTCAGAGGTGAGTCTATCCACAACTATTCTACCTGTCAGACTGTCTCACATGATCATCCATCCTTACTCTAGAAACTTGTTGTTTTAAAGACCACAGCAGCACTCAGCAGACCCTCTTGGACCTGAACATTTACCCAGCTGTTTGTCCATAAAGAGTGATGCATCAATGATACGTCCTCTTAATTTTAAACAATCTGCTGATGGGAGGTAGTCGCTTTCTTCTTCCAAAAATAATTGTAATTAGTTTTCATCCAGCATGAATATTAATGTGTGCTGGTCTTGTTTCAGGAATCAGCTGCAGAAAGTAGACTGTCCTCATCCAAGCTGTCTATCCCTTAAGAGCGACTGGTCAAAGGCTGAAATCTTAAACTTTGATGGAGGACATCCACATGTTTATCAGCAGTAAGTTCTAACAAACGATGGAGTCAGGTTATGAAAGAAATGGGATATTTAGTATAATAATAATAATAATAATACATTTTATTTACTAGAGTTTTCAAAACTAAAAGACACTGTACATTTGTTCAAAAAAGACAGAAGGGTCAGAACAGTAGGGACAGACTGACAGACATTGCAACATTACACACAAATCATAAAGACAACAACATAAAGGTAAAGCCACAAATAGTATCACACATCACAATCATACCTGCCAGACATCTGCTTACCAGTGTTTCTAGTATTTCCCTTGTGGCTCCTTGTTTCCCCTTTGGAAGTTTTCCTTTGCCTTTTTTGTTTAATTTCATTTTCATTTATTTATTTAAAGGACAGTGCACATTAATCAACATTTCTGTAAATGTTGAATTTCATTTTCAACTGTAGTCCTTTGTTATATAAATAGTTTTCTTTTTGGTTCTGCATTTTGCGCCCAGTTCCTATTTTTACATCCCATGATAGCGTGTGCATCCACCAAATGCGAGCACTGCCTCTCAGTGTCTCCTGCATGATGACTTAATTAATTTTATTTTATTATTGTGTCATGCATGCATTAGCATGCCCAGCCCACAAGGGCTTACAAGACACCAATATAAACACACAAACAAACCAAAAACCAGAAATTGATGCCAAACAATACTAACAATATAAACCATCCTGGCGTTTCCTCCAGGCTTTAGTGACAAAAGAGGCCAACTTATAAACATTGAACGTAAACAAACATTCCATCCTGACATTGTCATTACTCCAAAACACTTGAGAGTCTCGAGCAAACATTTCATCAAAAAGAGGTACTCTCAGTTCCTCATAAAAGGGACAATACAAAAGAAAATGAGATTCACTCTCCACTTCTCCTAAATCACAAAGTTCACAAATTCTCTTAAATTCTTTTAAAATCTGCCAACTTCAAATTCAAATGGAAGGATTCCTGTCCTTAATTGAGCAACCAAAGATCTTTGATTTCTTGGTAAGTTTGCTTTAACATCTAATTCGGTATCATAATTATGCTTTATTTGGACACATGTTCGTAATTTAGGTTTTAACAATATTTCATTTAACCATTTTTCAACAAGTACAACAAGTAACTTTTTTCTAATCTTATTTACGCATGATAAATTATTTTATAGACAAACTGTAAATCCGCTTCTTCAGAGACAGCATGAAGCTCTGCAACCCATGGAGAGTTCTGAACTTTACTCCAGAGAAAAACTTTCTTGTTGATCCTGTCATCAGACATAATAATAAAATGATTCCACAGTCTAATCATGTCGCATTTCCTCCTAATTATACCAGGAATCCAACCCATGTCACCCTGAGCAGCCAAAGAGGGAACAAATCTATAATGCCCAGAAAACAAGGAATAGCTCTGTTTTGTACTGCATCTGAAATTCTTCTTTCTTTAAATCCCATACCCCAGCAGCATAATTCAAAATCGGAGAAACACATGCATCATACAGTTGAGAGTAAGTAGAATAATCAAAGTCTTTACATAGTTTTAATTTGTTAACAACAGCCCCCAAAGCTCTGCTAGCTGAACTAGCAAGGAGTTCAATTCCATTGTCATAATTCAGATATTCATCAAGTGGAAATCCCAAATATTTATACACAGATACATTTTCTAATGGCATATCCCAAAAAGTAAAGCTTTTTTCACTTCTTGGGACACCCTTTTTTCTAAAATGAATTGTCTTTCATGATCTGAAAAAAAGACTGAAGAAATGTAAACCTCGGCGGGATGGATAAGAACAGCTACAGCATTCTGCAGATCGGGGCTCATGCTCTAGGCCTTCTGCGTATATTTAACTGCTTTGTAAAATTCTTTGATATCTCCACAGAGTCGACCAGGAGAGCTCAAAGACTTCCAGGGGTCAGTCTGCCCTGCAGCATCAACCTGACCTACACTCAACATTTATGGTCTGTACTGGCACAGTGACTTCTTTTACATTGTTTGTACTCACTAACCTCTTTATAACTAAACGATTGTCTGTCTTCCAAGCTGGATCTGATGTTGGTTGAATCGCTTTGTCCGTCTATCATTCTGTTCCAGCTGCTGGAGGAGAACATTGTCACTTTTGTGAAGAATGAGCTGAAGAAGGTCCAGAGAGCTCTGAGTCCAGATTTCCCAGAATGCTTTGAGAGTCAGAGGGAGTATGAAGACGTTTTGGGTGGTGAGGAAGAACAGCAGAAGACAAATATCAGAGAGGCATTCCTGAAGATCACAGTAGAGTTCCTAAAGAGAATGAAGCAGGGGGAGCTGGCTGAATGTCTGCAGAGCAGTAAGAGAATTTAACATTTTATATTGCCTTGTTAATCTACTATTTACTAATGGGCATTGAGATCAAAATATATCTTATATTATAGCCTCTAAGAGCAACAGCTAATTTCCATGGCTTCTCGTTTAACAAGATATTATTTGGAAAAACACTTCATTTTGAATCATTTATAGTCAAACTCAAAACTTTAGACATAGAGTGGACAGTCTGCTCTATGCATGAAATCCTTTCATTATATTCCAACCCCTTCTCTAAGGACTTCGGGTCTGAGGGGTCATTTTGGTGACCCCACATTGGTCCAACATGCTGTGGTTTAAAACTATTCCTAATCAGATTGACTTTCGTACTCCGATGACGGGGACTTCGATTCACCCTTCTGGCATAGTCCCTACACTATTCAAGTGCCCCGATACTTTTCATTTAGACAATCAATCCTTAGGGGACTGAGGTTCACCAGCAGGTCTCTCTTCTACTCAATCACCCTTGTGATCCACATATTTACTGCAAGAAATTTTAGTAGGGAAAAAAAGAGAGTTCATGTCTCAGCGCTCATTTTAGATAGTTATTATCCCAGATCCTCAGAGGTCTCCAGTGCCTTACGTTTTGCAACTGACAGCATATGGCACTAATTTTTTTATTGGTTATAGTTAATAGGTAGACAATACAAATGTAACCAAGTCCCCTGACTTCAAGGGAATGATAACCACTAAAATATATAAAGAGAGATTATTTTACTTCAGGAACACAAGGTTGAACTGTTAACAGATGATCTTATTTCTTGTGTGTTCTTATAGAATTATTTGTACCAAGTTGTCAGCGTAAAATCAAGTCTAATTTGAAGAGGAAGTTCCAGTGTGTGTTTGAGGGGATTGCCAAAGCAGGAAACCCAAGTCTAATGAATCAGATCTACACAGAACTCTACATCACAGAGGTAGGGACCAGAGAGATCAATGAAGAACACGAGGTCAGACAGATTGAAACAACATCCAGGAAACTAAGCAGACCAGAAACAACCATTAAACCAGAAGACGTAATCAGAGCCTTACCTGGAAGAGAAGAACCACTCAGAACAGTGATGACAAAGGGAGTGGCTGGCATCGGGAAAACAGTCTTAACACAGAAATTTACTCTGGACTGGGCTGAAGGCAAAGCCAACCAGGACATACAGTTTACATTTCCATTCACTTTCAGAGAGCTGAATGTGCTGAAAGAGAAAAAGTTCAGCTTGGTGGAACTTGTTCATCACTTCTTTTCTGAAACCAAAGAAGCAGGAATCTGCAGGTTTGAAGAGTTCCAGGTTGTGTTCATCTTTGACGGCCTGGATGAGTGTCGACTTCCTCTGGACTTCCACAACAATGAGACTATGACTGATGTAACAGAGTCCACCTCAGTGGATATGCTGTTGACAAACCTCATCAGAGGGAACATGCTTCCCTCTGCTCGCATCTGGATAACCACAAGACCTGCAGCAGCCAATCAGATCCCTCCTGAGTGTGTTGACATAGTGACAGAGGTCAGAGGGTTCACTGACCCACAGAAGGACGAGTACTTCATGAAGAGATTCAGAGATAAGGATCAGGCCAACAGGATCCTCTCTCACATCAAGAGATCCCGAAGCCTCCACATCATGTGCCACATCCCAGTCTTCTGCTGGATCACTGCTACAGTTCTGGAGGATGTGTTAAAGACCAGAGAGGGAGAAGTGCTGCCTAGGACCCTGACTGAGATGTACATCCACTTTCTGGTGGTTCAGTCCAAAATGAAGAACATCAAGTATGATGGAGGAGCTGACACAGATTCACATTGGAGTCCAGAGAGCAGGAAGATGATTGAGTCTCTAGGAAAACTGGCTTTTGAGGAGCTGCAGAAAGGAAACCTGATCTTCTATGAATCAGACCTGATAGAGTGTGGCATGGATATCAGAGAGGCCTCAGTGTACTCGGGAGTGTTCACACAGATCTTTAAAGAGGAGACAGGACTGTACCAGGACAAGGTGTTCTGCTTTGTCCATCTGAGTGTTCAGGAGTTTCTGGCTGCTCTTCATGTCCATCTGACATTCATCAACTCTGGTGTTAATTTGATGTCAGAAGAAAAAACAACATTGTGGTTTTCTTGTTTCATGAAAGACAAACACAATATCAAATATGTACACCAGTGTGCTGTGGACAAGGCCTTACAGAGTCCAAATGGTCACCTGGACTTGTTCCTCCGCTTCCTCCTGGGTCTTTCACTGCCAACAAATGGGATTCTTCTTGGAGGCCTTTTGGCAAAGACAGCACGTAGCTCACAAACCAAAGTGGAAACAGTCCGGTACATCAAAAAGAAGATCAGTCAGAATCTGTCTGCAGAGAAAAGCATCAATCTGTTCCACTGTCTGAATGAACAGAATGATAGCTCCCTCCTAGAGGAGCTCCAGCACTCGCTGAGATATGGAAGTCTCTCCACAGATGAACTGTCTCCTGCTCAGTGGTCAGCCCTCGTCTTCATCTTACTGTCATCAGAAAAAGAGCTAGATGTGTTTGACCTGAAGAAATACTCTGATTCAGAAGAGGCTCTTCTGAGGCTGCTGCCAGTGGTCAGAGCCTCCAGCACAGCTCTGTAAGTACAAAATCAAATTATATAATTGAAAATAAATACACAGCTCTTTTGAACAGGAGACAAAAAAAGGAGCATTTTTGTTCAATTCTGTGCACTTTGTGGTTAATAAGATAATGAGGGTCCTTAGTTTGGCCAAGTCTCAAAAATATTAAAAGATGAGCTGCCTGAGATTAAAACTAAAAACTTGGGTCAATGGATGCATTGCTAAGCGGACTTTGACGATTCTGCATTGATACAGTGGAAGAACATCATCGACGTTTAGGCTACTGACCAGGGTTGGACATTTGCACTGCCACCTGTTGAATGCGGATGTTTTTGTGCAGTGTCGGGTGAATTTGCTAAACCTACTGGCAACGGTTAAATAATAGTAAGGTAACAGAGTGATTTGTGAGAAAACAAAGTATAATGAATCCCAGGTATCTGCTTTTTCTGCTCTGACTGATGCCTCTCTGCCTTAAGTCCAAGATGATTAAAAGAATATTGCTGCCGACAGCCTTATTGAAAATCACAGGTAAGTGAAGCTGCGCTAAAACTGAGTTACATTCATAATATATTGTATTTTTCTTCTTGTTCATTGTTGTCTCTACAGGCTGGCTTACTGTAACCTCTCAGAGAGAAGCTGTCAAGCTCTGTCTTCAGTTCTCAGCTCCCAGTCTTCTTCTCTGAGAGAACTCGACCTGACTAACAACAATCTGCAGGATTCAGGAGTGGAACTGCTGTGTGAAGGACTGAAGAGTCCACACTGTTTACTGGAAACTCTGAGGCAAGGATATGTATGTTTTTAATTGATATCCACACAATTGCATGTGGCACATGAGTGTAAAACCTCTTTAGCACACAAAAACAGTTGTGTTTAAAGTGTCAAATTAGTCAATGTTTGCATAAACTCAGCAATTGATATTTTTCCACCAATACTAAAACATTTTGTTATTGCACTGGTATTGAAGCAATACTTGGAGTAATTAAATATTCAAGTAGAGGTATCTAAATCAATGATAGCATGATCATAAAGCATAATATTTTAAAAAACTGACATTGTGATATTCCTTCTTTCTGCGATATATATATATATATCTTGTGATATCTTGTTTTTGTCATTTCGCTTAATGATGGCAGCCATTTTTCAGAATGTTTTAACACTCAGTCTGACTGAGGATGAATAGTCCGGTGAATGAGTAACATCAATGTATTGGTGGAACATCTCTATCGGTGATCAAATTAACGTAATATTAGTAACACCAGATCACATGTTCTTTTTTGGGTGTTTGCAGGCTTTCTGGCTGTATGATCCAAAGTAAAGGCTGTGCTTCACTGGCCAAAGCTCTTAGCTCTAACCCCTCCTATCTCAGAGAGCTAGACCTGAGCTACAATCATCCAGGAAAACAGGGAGTGAAGCTGCTGTCTACTGGACTGGAGAATCCACAATGGAGACTGGACACTCTCAGGTATGAAGAGGCTTTCTGCAGCCACAGACAACCAGCCTGATAAAGGTATAATGAGGGAGTTTTTTTTATCTCTCACAGTCAGCTAGAGCTGGTTGATGTGGACCAAAAATTATTCCTCGATATTTTTTAGCTGAATGGCGATACACAACTCAAGCTTGATATATATTTTTCTGCACTGAAATAACCAAAGTATGTTCTAATCTAATCCACATGAGCCAAATGCCAAATGTCACAGAAACACTTTCATTAACAGCCAGCTTCACAATGTACATGATCCTCGAAAAAGGACATAAAACAAATAACCATTTATGAAATAAAAAAACATGAAAATGAAATAAAAGATAGATATGAATAGATACATCAGAACAGGGACAGGTACCTCCTTTCAACTCAGGCTATAATTGGCTATTACCGGCTGGGAACAGTCAATGGAAGATCGTAATTGGCCAAAAAGGTGTCAATTGTTCAAAAGGTCAGGGTGCGTCCGCCACTTTGATGTGTCACAATTGAAGAAATTAATTAAGAAAAATGAATTCTTACATAAAATACAGTGGGATATTGGAAACAGCGGTGGCAAATTTAAAGCGTTCTCTGGAGCTTTATAGATGTAATGTGTTTGGAATTAAATATTTCACTGGATTTGGATCATTGGGACCCTTGCTGACCCTTGCTGACCCTTGTTCCTCAACTCAGAGGAAACAAGTTGTTTGTCATGGACAAAAGTTGCAGTTCTTCTGTTATTGTTTCCACAGATTTGTCTCATATCTAGAACAGCAGTTTAGAAAACACAATGCTTAAAGTGGATTTGCTTGTCTGAACCTCCAGGTGGAAGCCTGGCAGGGCCCGATGGTTGAAACCAGGTCTGAGAAAGTGTAAGTGTGATTTTTACTCAAGTCATGAAAAGCAGCACACATTCTATCATCTTCAAAACTTGATACCACTCACATATTTCAACCATACTTTGCATCTGTGAACAGCTGTTTGATGAGTAACTGCAGGTGTGTTGTGCCTTGTTCTCTCCATCAGATTCCTGTGGACTCACATTTAACACAAACACGGTGCACAAAAACCTACAACTGTCCAACAACAACACTATGGTGGTTTTTACTGAGGATAATCAGTCATATCCTGATCATCCAGACAGATTTAAAACCTGTCCTCAGCTGCTGTGTAGAAATAATTTGACTGGTCGCTGTTACTGGGAGGTCAAGTGGAGTGGGGAAGTTTATATATCAGTGAGTTACAGAGGAATCAGCAGGACAGGACCCAGTAGGGTCTGTATGTTTGGGGAGAATAATCAGTCCTGGTGTCTGTTCTGCTCTGATAAAGGTTACTCTGTCTGCCACAACAGCATCGTAACATCCATCCCATCCACTTATTCCTCCGTCTCTGGCAGAGTAGCAGTATATGTGGACTGTCCTGCTGGCACTCTGTCCTTCTTCAGAGTGTCCTCCGGCAAGCTGATCCACCTCCACACCTTCAACACCACATTCACTGAAGCCCTTTATCCTGGGTTTGGTCTTTGGTATGAAATGATTTGGCACTTTACAGACATCACTGGGTTCTCTTCTACTTGTCCTGGTTCTTCTGTGTCTTTGTGTCCTCTGTAAGAGGGACAGACTCCTCAAGAGTGTTTTGGGGACTCATGGACGTCAGTTTTTCAGAGGGAGGATCAAGGTGTTTTTTTTGGGCTTTAAATGCAAGTGTGAACCAAACACTCATTTTTTCAGGAGTTCAAAGTTTCATCAACTTGCAGAGGAAATCTGGTAAATATGTAATCAGACCTCCTGTTTGAAAGCATTATTTCTCCTAAAGGATACACTGAGCGCTGCATTATCCCTATGGATACACATTTACAGTATAAGAGTGACTTCCATTGTTGGACCTCCCTTGAAAAAAAGAAAAAAAGACCAGCATCTAGAAAATCATTGATGCTAAGAAATATGATTATAATAAACAATTAAACTAAAATCAGAATAATAGAAACTTAACTCTCAGGGAGATCAAACTAAACACTCTAAACTGACAGCCAGTGGCCAGCAGGCATGTCATAAATGAAAAATACAAACAGGTGCCCCTGCACTGAGATTATTTCCTCAGCAAATCCATTCAGTGGCAAGAGTTAGGCCCCCTCAGAGACCCCCCTCCCTAAAGAGCGGAAACAGGACCTTTCAGCTGCTGCTGGAGTGATGGTGACAGAACTCCTGGATAAATTCGCTCAGATAAAAATAATCTAGACCACTGCTGTTCAGGAAACTAAACGTTCAGGAACAGTAGGGAAACACACTTAAAATGAAATAAAATGGCTGCAAGACATACCTTTAAACACAGAAGGCTGGGTCAGAGACCACATACCCATCACCAACAAACTACACTTTAAAAGAAAATGGAAATGGTAGTAAATCACAAAGACAGGTTAGGTCTAGTGCTGCTTCTGGGGGGCCCTTATTTATCACAAAAGACAATTCCAGGTTGTGTCAGGACCAGCTGATCTTGCATCATATAATGTACAACAAGACTGAAGTATCTAGAGCCATCGTTAGAGGACAGAAAAAAAAACTGTTAGCTGTTATTTCTAATTTAAAAATGATGCCTGTGAGACAGTGACTGTATTAAAGAAAAAATCCACAAAATAAATATCCTTCAGTATCCTGTACCTAGGGTTTTGTGATCCAAAGAGTTCAGTTTCTGCTTTTTCAATTCTTTCTACCCAGGTTGTGCTTATAATGTGTTTGTGCAATTCTTTGGATCCCCACTAGTATAAGACTAGAGTGACTGAAACATGACCCTGCACCTCTGTTAGGATGTGATGTTCTGATTGAACAGCAGGTGGCAGCACACACTTAATAATCAACAGGTTTCACTGCACAAAATCTCTACATGTAGTTACAGTAGAACTCAAATTCAGTCTGTACTTTAGTTAAGGTACTACCTTTAAAAATGTTTTTGAAGTGCATTTTAGCATTTAGAATTTGACTTGCTCAACTGAAAAGTGAATATCTTTTCTGAAATATTCTATGAACTGTTTCCTGATTGTTCTGAAATGTTTCATGTTCCTATAGGATGACATGTAAATACTAGGTTTACATTTTGGATTTAAGGTTGTGACAGTTTTAATTCAGTAGAAGTTGTTAAGGCTAACTATCTTTGGTCATAGATGAATACTATTTCTTTTACTCTTTGTGTTGATATTGGTGCTTCCTTTGGACATAGCAGTATTCTATCTTTGCTGATGTTGTCCTGCACATGTCTACATGTTGTTTTCTGAGTAAAAATCACATTCTGCTGTCTTTTAACAGTCAAAAGTATCACTCACCGTGAAAATGTAAAAAAGCCTATTGTTGTTTTTAATCTGCTCGTCTAATTTAAATACAACATTTTAAAAACCAAACAATCTCTGTTATTTTATTGATCGACGATTGTATCAAAAAGTACCAAAACTTAAAAAAAATACATCTATACCGTAAGACAGGTGTGTAGGAGAGGGATAACTATTAAAAACAAACTCCTGCACGCTATCTGTACCATACCGAAATGTTGCCAATGTTTTTGTTCAATTTAGACAGTGTGCTGGAGTGTGAGTGTGAATATGTGATCTCACTCTCTCTCTCTCTCTCTCTCTCTCTCTCTCTCTCTCTCTCTCTCTCTCTCCATCTCCATCCTTCACTGTAAAATTCTCTCTGGCATCAGTTACACTCTTGTCCTCTGTGGGCCTCTGTAGCTCACTGAAGCAGAGCAAAAGGAAGCAAAAAGGCGAAGAAGGAGCCGGCGGCAGGAACGGAGCGCTGAGGTGAACAAAGAGGATAGATTTCAGAGAGGAGACTAAACCTTCCTAAATCAGTTAGTCCTGATCCATCCTGACCCCTGATCTGCTCATCCTGTGGAGCGTGCAGCTCAGGGGAGGAAACCGATCAGCCAAATGTCTGTCCCTTAAGTGACAAAATGCCCTGAGGTGACAACACACACACACACACACACACACACACACACACACACACACACACACACACACACACACACACGCACTGACAATGTGTGTGTGGACAGCTGCAACTCTGTGATTAGACCACCTCAGTCGAGTTCAACACAAGTCCAAGACCAGGTCCTTTTTAGAGTCAAGTATAAAGAGAAGTCTGAGTTCAAATTCTTTGTTTTACAGCTCCTGGTAACAACACAGATATAGAATTGTTTTTTTTATTGTCTGACATCTGAAAGGAAAACTGTAGAAAATGAACATCCTTCATCAGAGCGCACCAGATCAAACTCAGGGGGGGAATTCACAAAGAATGGATTGCCGCCATTAGAAGCACCAAAATCTGTCATAATTTAGTCCCACCATCAGCTCTCTCTCTTAACGTCTAATTCACAAAAGCATACGGCTGTGATGATATTCAAGCACAAAAACACTTCAAATGTTTTCCTGCTCTGTGGAGTTCGCTCTTGTTTTGTGTCTGAATGTGGAGAGAAGCTGTCCGCACCTTTATTCTGCACGGATCATCACTCATGCTGACGGAGCTCAGTTCTGTCCGCATAAAGATGATGAGCTCAGAGGGGAAACTCTTTCAACTTTGTTGTGAAAATGAAAAATGTGAAGTGAGTTTCAACGTTTAAAACAAATCTTTCTCGCTGAATGGAGCGAGAGAGGACGACTCAAAAGACAAAAACAACACATCCTCATCATGATGCATGTCAGCTCAGGGTATGAGTGTGTGTGTGTATTTTAAACTATCAAACTATTGGATGACATCAACATATACACACCCCTTCTGACGTAGCGGTCAGAGTCATGTGGGCTCTTGCTAGTGGCTACGTATATCACATGTCATATATGCAAATGTGATGTAGTTTATGGGACAGTCCATTTTGTACGGGGTCAATTTTTTATTTTTTTTTTAGAAATGTTCAAACTCTGTTGGCAGAAGAGAAAAACTTGTGAATTAAGATGCAATTTTAAATGTGTTTAAAAAGATGCCTTTGTCGTGTCAAGACGTTATATGTTGATGTGTTAAGACGAACAAAATTAACGTTTTACCACGTGTGCGAGGCTAGATGTTGTGGACCAATCGGTGTTCAATAGCTCTGTGTCTCCAGACCAGCAGCTTCATCTCATTATCAGCTTTTCATCCCCTCGGCCTCGTCCTTTCTCTGCGACGTTTGCCTCCAGTATAATCTCTGATGAGAGAGCAGATCATCACACTGGAGCCTCCTTCATGAACAAACAGAGCCGCTTAAAGCTCCTCGCTCTCTCACATGAGGGAAAAGATCTCACAAGGATTCATTAAAGCCGCTGAGAGAAAGAGAGAGAGAGCACGTTCAGGTCCTTTCTACTGACACGACACCGCTGTGAAGTCACCAGGAGAATACCCGAGAGGTTAAAGTGTCAAATGAGTACAAATTATTTGCTTCTAATGTTACTGAGATATCATTTTAAATTCAGTAATTAATGTTTTGTATTAAACTAATCTGAGCCTCCACTTCAGGATCACTGATGGGTTTTTTGGAGGAGACAGTTTGAGCTTATTGGAAATAAATGTTTGAAATAAATAGACTACATAAATTCATGTTCAACCACGCAATTATTTTTCTATAGCTCATCGTTAAGCCTACAAACCTGCAGTACCTCCAGTGTCCACTAGACACTGTCGCCTGCAGAGGGCCCATTTTAAATGTCCAGTTGACCCTCTGAGTGAGGGGTCAGCAGACTCCCTCCTATAGCAACCGTTGCCAAGGGCTGCTTCTGGTAAGACAAACTTTTGGGTTGATTTTTTTATACAACTCACCTGTTTAAATTACATTAAGGCTGAAAGTGATGTAGAATTAGGGGCGTGGCCTCTTTGAGTGACAGGTGGGAGCTGCTAGGTGTCACCTCAGCTAATTCAGTCACTGAACTTCACCTCTGGGCCGTGTTTGTGCCTTTTGGAAATGTTTTCATGTGAAGTACTACCAGACAGTCCAACAAGCCTGAGCTACAGCTTTAGAACCTGTCAAATTTGAACATGATCGTATTTACATGTTAGAGACCAGTTAGCAGCTGTCTGTGTCGGTGATCAAGGCCCGTTAGCTCATTCAGTGTTTGGAGTTTTTACAATTCTTTATCAGAATGAAGGGGCCCGAAATATGCCAGCCACCTCCTCTGATGAAATGGGATTATGTTGGAAATCGTACTGTTATGGTACGGTACAGCATGGTTGATTCAACTGTTCAACACTCTTACCATGGGACATCAAACATTTATTTATACTTCCTCTTATTTTTCATATTCAAACTGTTCCTGCAAATGAATGTGTGATAATTGTTATTGTTTGTACCATGTACATTTTAGTTGAATGTTTGCGTTTACGTTTTTGAATCTTATTTAATATGTTTTCTATATATACAGTAGCATTATACTAAAAAACATTTTGCCATATTGTTTTCTACCTGCTCATCATTTTGTTAAGTTTACAAACACATTTCTCTCTAATCAGAGCAAACTGCGAATAAAACTCCAGAATAAACAAAGTACTTCTTATTCTGATGTGTTAACGTAATATGAAGTAGACGATCTGTCTATATATGTCTCACATCGTAAACATCATCAGGCTCCAAGGGAGGGAAAAAATGTGTTTGAATGAAGTCTTGAGACAAATCTTGACTCTCTATCACTAAGTTAATATGTGTGTTTTGTTTTTAACCTCGGCAGGGTGTCTAGTGTGCAACTCTGGCTCTAAACGATGCCACCAACACAAATATCAGTGCCTATGATGGGGGCATTCTGCCTCATTTTATGTACAAAAGGGGAGGCAGAGAAGTGTTGATTCTGTAGCTGATTAGAAAAACGTAAAGAGTGACACATCTCATTGTCTTCCCATCTCTGCTGAGAGTCACACCTGAGGTACACTGAGTTAACTTTAAATATGACTGTGTGTGTGTGTGTGTGTGTGTGTGTGTGTGTGTGTGTGTGTGTGTGTGTGTGTGTGTGTGTGTGTGTGTGTGTGTGTGTGAGAGAGAGGAGCAAATTAACCCTGTAACACACAACACAAACTCACTGTGGGATTCATCAGCTCAGACTGTCCGACCCGATTAACAAAAATAACAACAATAACACACACGCACACGCGCGCACACACACACACACACACACACACACACACACACAGACTACAGCAAGACGTTATGAGTCTCTGTTGTTGTGTTGAAGTTTAAACTCATGTTTCTCCTCCATTTTTCGTCGTCTTCTTTCTGCAGACGGTCCAATAAGAGCCGAGCTCAGCAGGAATAATCCTGCTGATGACCCTGCTTTGTCACACGAGGTCTCAAAGTGTGTGCATGTGTGTGTGTGTGTGTGTGTGGGTGTGGGTGTGTGTGTGGCTCGCATTCCAGCACACTGCTCTTCTATACGCTGACCTCTCCATTTTTCGTCGTCTTCTTTCTGCAGACGGTCCAATAAGAGCCGAGCTCAGCAGGAATAATCCTGCTGATGACCCTGCTTTGTCACACGAGGTCTCAAAGTGTGTGCATGTGTGTGTGTGTGTGTGTGTGGGTGTGGGTGTGTGTGTGGCTCGCATTAAATCCAGCACACTGCTCTTCTATACGCTGACCTCTGACCTCTGCAGAGCGATGTATAGTAACGTTCCTCCTCCTTTTCTTCTTCTCTCCTCCAGCTCGGCTTTCGCTTCGCACCTCAAAGGTTCATTTTACTCTGACTACTTTTATTTTAAAAATTGTCCACCTGTAGGTTTACTTATCTAACTTTTAATAATGTCTGAGAATCTCCTGTTGAACACTGAAAAAAACAACATTTTTCTGTTAAATGGCTTTGTTTTTATATTGAAGTAATGCTGTACCTAATACCTCACAGTTTGTGTCACAGACTCACAGAAGTGCTGCTGTTATTGTTTTGTACGTTTTTTTCAAATAGTACTTTCAAGTTCTCAGAGTGAAACTGTATTTATTGAAGTATTTAAATACAAAACTTTGTTCAATGCTTTTTCACACAAACACAAAACTTCTGAAGATTTCACAACATTTTTGGGTGAGCTGCCGTGTGAACACGAAGACACAAATATTTAATCCTGTCAGCATCCAAACATGTCTGCGTGAAGTCAGGGTGAGCTGATGTGAGGGCGCAAAATGAAACATTCAGGAAAATTGTAAAGGGAGTGTGCAGGGGTGCTGAAGTTTATATCACACATCATGCCCGACTGGTGAGAAATTGGTGCAGTGTTGTTGCACGTAATGAAACCGCCTCAAACTCTTTACAGTTTGCCAGTATGTTCTTTTACACTGTGTTCATGTGAAAATGTCCATTTAAACGTTTAAATACGAGGTTAGCAAAAGGAAAGAAACAAATACTGAGGCTGGGGTCATCC